ACAGTGATGGTTTGATGGATGCTTGTTTGCTATTATTGTCACCCTTAGTCACACTGTCACTCCAGCTCCTGACCTCCCTGGCAAGGTTTTGACCAAGGGTTTGAATGCTTACAAGGAAAGCAGAATAACAGGTGACCTTTCTGCTGACTCTGCGTGGTGATGGTGAGAAAGTTTGTAGTGGGGAGCAGAGCTTTGAGACAGCAGGAAGCAGTGTGAGCCCTCGCCCCTCTGGGCAGGTGAGAGTGGGCTTTGGCAGTCAGAAGTCAGTGTATCACCTCTGTAGGAGAAGTTGGAGCCTCTTCTCTACTTCTGGAAACAAGCTGGTAAGTTCACGTATGGGGGTAAGCAGGATTTCTTCATAGATCTCTTTGGGCTACCATTTCTCGAGTATTTTGTAGTGCCAGGCTCTCCACACATTTTCCCCTTTAGTCAAACAACCCCTCCGAAGACATTTTGGTCCACTCATTTTTCCAGATCCCAAAATTAGATGCTAGCCAGTGAGAGCTGCTGTCCAAATTTACATCCTGAACTCAGGTGCTTTCTACTGCCCTCTGCTTCTCCCCTCTTACCACTTCCAACAAACTACAATGGGGTAGAAGGTCACCTCTAGCTTTAGGCTGTAACCAGCTCAGGGAGTACTGAAAAGAACCCCTGTTCCAACTCCCCCGACATTCCCTACCAGCAAAGGCATGTTTCCCAGACGTTCCAGATGTGCAGCCATCCTGAGTTTGCTCTCAGGTGGATAAAACTTTGATCCAGCCCAGTCTGCTGCTTAACTTGGCCAGCAGGGCCCTGATCTCCCTGCTCCTTTCTGGACACTTGCTTAACTTGGCCAGCAGGGCCCTGATCTCCCTGCTCCTTTCTGGACACTTGGTCCAGGACAGACTTGACTTCACCATGTTTGCAGGTCGACCACATAAACACTGGCCTTTCCTGGAGACCACCAGAACCTTCCCAAAGTGTGATACCTAGAAAGAGTCACACCCTTGAGATTGGCAAGTGGCATGTTTGAGGAACTCAACAGTTCTGGAGAAATGCTTCCGTTTCACCATAAAGGAGTCTGAGAACATGTGTCTGCTCTGGAATTCCTTCCTCGGGATCTGAGACTGACAATCTGGAGAAGCTGTCTCATCAGTCATTGGCATCCTCAAGGTGACCCATGGCTTCCCTTATATGTCTCCCTCTGCCCCGGGTCCAAGGGATCATTTGGTCTGGGTGGTCTCTTCCTAGAAGAGTGTTTCCACTGTCTGATTTTTTTAATGTGGACAGGGCTTCGCCTCTTTGCCTGATAACATCCTCTCTTTCCCAGTGCCTCCCTGCCCTCATCGATCCCTGGCATCTCTCTCTTTTCCCTCTTCCCCATCCCTGGAGATACTACCAGAAAATGGTATTTTGCCTGTGACTTCACTTTGTGCTGACACTTTCAGTTTAATGACCCACCTTTAAGGTAGGTCTTACTATCTAACCTGACATTCCTGCTTGTCTCTCATGGGGCCTTTGCTTTTCTTGCCAGCTCTCTTATCTTTTCCTGTTTTAATGAAAAAGAATCAATGTTGTGTGATTTCCAGAATCTTCTTATCCTCCTACAGGATATTCTTCATTTTTCTCAGTAACTCCTTGATCTCTCTTATCTTCAGTTATTTATTTTCAGTAAAAGTACTTTTCTGAACCTTAGTAGTCTGACAGTGTTCCAGTTTCCTGACAGTTTCACAGAGACCCACTTGGGTCATCCCTGTGTCCTTTCAGCACTCCCAATTAGGGGATAGGTCAGTCCCCTGGATAAAGAGACTGAGGTCTTAAGTCCTCTCCAAGGACGGAGCTCTTGGGGCATTTAGATCTAAAGGTAATCATTTGATGTTGACTCTTAGCTACAAAGTTATCTTTGAGGTTTTTAAATATGTGTTTTCCTCAATGTGCTTTTGCAGCTGTACATTTTTTATTGTTCAACAAGTATTTACTGAAAACCTACTGTATGTCCAAACCTGAGCTAGGCTGGGGGTAGAATGTGAGCAGAATCATCGGTAGTAGAATTGTGAGCAGAATCATCGGTGGTACCTGCTCCCCTGGAGCTTACAGTCCAGTGGGGAAGAAAGCCGAGTCAAATACACAAAAACATGCATGAAAGTGTTTGAAGAAGAGGCGCATTATGCTACGAGAGCACATGATGCAAAGCTAGTCTTGGGCAAATGGTTCTAAATGTGATGCTCAGACCATCAGCAGCATCTGTAAACTTTTTAGCAATAGACATTCTCCATTCCTACTCTGTGCACTCTGGATTAGAAACTGTGGGGCTTGTAGGCAGTTTCCACATATCCTCAGGCATTTGTGACTTATATTCAAGGTTAAGGACTCTTGTTCCAGTTGATCAAAGAAAGCTTCTCTGAAGAAACAGTTTTTAAGTTGTGAAGAAAAAACAGGCAATAAGATGTGGGGGCGGAGAAAGTATTTCAGACAGAAAGCTGGCTAGTGTTTAAAAGCCCTGTAGGAAGAGCAAGGGAATACCCCAAGAAAGGAGAAGAGTGAGAGATGAGACTGGACAGGATGATATGAAGGTTTCATCAAGGACTGGGCAACAGGAAACTTCTAATGTGCTTTAAACACAAGGGTGGCAGGATCTTATTTGTCTTTGTTAAAGAATACATCTAGCTATGGTATGGAGAAAGGACTTACACGGAGCTAAAGTAGACCAGTGGGAAGCCATTACAGGTGTCTGGAGAAAGACGATGGTAACCTGTTCCTGAGGAATGGATAAAAGGGTGCATAATCACAAGATTAAATCCACAGGTTGGGGCATTGATGGGACATGTCAAAGAGGACTCTGGAGTGTTAGGTTTACATGGAGGATAATGATGCCAAGTTTGGCTACAGAAAGAGCGCATGAGAAGGTCCTGTTGAGTGTGGCATGTCCTTGAGTGATGTACCACTGCCAATTAATGGTGAAAGGTGTGGACCTAGAGCTTGGAAGAGCAGTCAGGGCTGAGGATTGACATTGGTGAGTCATCAAAAACTAAGTCACAAAAGAGATTGTGAGCCTAGATGAGGTGGCCCAGGAGAATGTAATGAAGAGAAGCCAGAATGTGCATTGGAGAGTTTTGGTCTCATGGTCAGATGGAAAAGGAAGACTCCACAAGAAAAGTGTAAAGCTAAGAGCCAAAGAGAAGGAAACTAGAAGAAGATAGTGTCACTGTGGCCAAAAGAGGAGAGCTCTGAGGACCCAACACGGGTGAGGAAGGAGGCCACGGAAGTATAGGTGGAACACTGTTGAATTCAGCGACAGGGAAATCATCTGTGACTTTAGCAAGAGGTATTTCAATGGAGTAAAGCGAGCAGCTGCTCGAACGCAGTTATTTAAGGTGGGAATAGACCAGAGAATACTTCTTTGGAAATGGTTGGAGAGAGGGGGACAGAATACCAGAGGGATGTGGCATCAAGATTGTTCTGGTTTGACTTTTGCACGGCTGTGGTTCCAGCATGGTAAAACCTAAGGATTTCATTGAGAGGGAAAGGTTGAATAAGAGAGGGACGTGATCCTCTGAGGTTACCAAGGACCAGGACAGCAAGTGCAGTGGTCATGGGTGCTGTGCTTGCTGCGCCTGCCTGGATTCCTCTGACCCAAGGCCAGACCCCCAGACTTGGAATGCCTGCGCCTGCCCTTTCTTAGCATCCAGCCTCCCTGCTGTCTCGCCTGCCCACAGCCCCTCTCCTCCAGGCTGCTCAGCTGTTTTCTCAGCTTTGTTCACCCACTGTTAAGTTATTAACTTGTCAGGGTCTGGACTCTGCACTTCCTTTCCCACTTTGAACCTGCTGTTGGCTCCCAGCCTGATCGCGTCCTCAGGAAGTCAGCACTGGGAAGACTGGCCTGACTGCGGGTCACTGTTGGCAGGCACCCAGCATTGCCATTAATATAACTGGCATAAGATACAGATGGCTGCTTAAAGACAGTGATACAACTGAAAAAGGAATAATAAACGCAACCCTCTTTTCCTTGTCTTAGATGCAGAAGCAAATGAACCTAAAATGATTAAGGTAATGTCTCCAAGAAGGTTCGGTTTTAAAGGGTCACCAGTAAACATCTTTAAAAGACCATCAGATTTTTGTATGCTAATTCATGAATTCAGTTGGATCAGGAATGAGCTTTAATTAGTTATTAAATCAGACTCAGACATAGGTAAGTTCATGTTCGTGTTGCTGGCGTGAGACAAGCAAATTTCATCTAAGATTTTTGAGAGAAATTCACTGCAGTTGCTTAAAAACAATGGAGTGGTTTATCATTACCTGACATTTTCAAAGTCATGAATTAGCTTAATGGGGTATGATGGCTGAAGGCACAGACTGTTTCCCATTTGTTGACCTACATCCCCCTGATAATGATTTCTTGTCTAGGGATAAAACTAAAGGAGAAGTAGCATTTTGAGCATCTATTATGGGCAGATCTTTTACTTATGTCATCATATTTATTCCTAGCCACCCTTTGAGGTATGTTGCCTAGTTTCAAGGCTAGAGGAATCACGGCTCGGAACTGTTTGGTACATTCCCTGTTCCCGTGCCTAGTGGGAGGGAGTTGTTCCTGTATTCCGGTCTCGGTGCTCACACAAAGGGAAGCAGCCGGCACTGGGCATTGCTGGCCAGGCCCTGACAGCTGCGACTCCTACTCACCTGTCCCTGTCCTATCACTTAATCCCCATAACAACGCTGCAGAAGGTGAAACAGGCTTACGTTATTCACCGCAAGGTTACGTTATTCACCGCAAGGTTACGTTATTCATCCACACAGCTATTCAGTGAAGAACTAGAATTCAAACTGAGTTCCATCTGACCCTAATATTCTGTTCTAAAAGAAGCTTTTTATCAAAAGCAGAGCTGTTTCCCCGACCCCAAGAACAAAGCCTGAGTTGCATAGATGTAAATTTCTTTCCTAATAGTTTTGACTATACAGCTGTCTCTCAGCACTGCTGTTGAGCCAGAATACAAAATGCTTATTTAATGTTTATTCTTCATAAGCCTTAGGGGGCCAAAGAAGATGGAAGCATCAGCTGTTTTGCAAGTTTATACATTTTGGTAAGATACTTTCCCATCTACTGAGCAGCTTCTCCTATCAAAACCCACCCAAAAATCCTAAGCAAGAAAACCTCTGCACAACCAGAATCAAATAACACAAGTAGCTGAATTAACTACTGTGTCTAAAGAACCCCCTGACATTCACGCCAAACCTGCTTCCTCTCATTTTACAGGTAGTTCTTTATTTTTATCTTCGTCTACAGCAGAGCAGTAGAAGAGAGCCCACTACACAATGCTGTAGTAACATTACAGATATGACCAGAAATAATAAATTAAAACCAAAAAAGACAAAGAACAGAAGCAAGCACCCAGACGTGCAACCAACCAGAGCTATTCTGGTGTCAGATCAAATCACGCACCCGCCACGGCAGTGCCGTATAGTTTTACCCAGTTCTTACTTCCCATTATAGTCACACTAAGCATTCTGGGAAAGTTAACATTTCATCATGTTTGATGTTTATCCAGTCTAGGGAAGTAGTGATGTGTGCCATGTTTTTTTAAGGAAAAAGAAAATCAAACCTGCATTTATTGGTGTTTTCTCTTCCCTTCAAATCCAGCTGCCCAAGGAGGATTTCCCAGGTCTTTGTTTGGTCTTTCTGCATCCCCCAGAACACGGTGACTGGCACAGCGTGTTCACTCACCTTAGCTGGTGAAATAACCAAAGATTTATTTCCTGAAGCCTGGGGAGCCACATAGGGAGAGTGTGGTCACCTAGGAAGGGGTCCTCCTGCCTCTACCCAGGGTTGCTTTGTGAAGGAGAAAAGGGTGAGGTCCTGAGAGCTCAGTATCTAATCTAGTTTTACACATGGGTAATCCAACCTTGCCTCAAAACAAACAAGTACACCATAGGGTCATTTGCGATTACCAACATAATGGCCATCTTCATCAATATTGACCAATGCGGCAGGCTGGGGAAGATTAAAAATGAAATTGGAACCTTCCTCTCCTGGACACATGGAAACCCAGCAGATAAAACTGACTGGAAACTCTCACCAAAATCAGAGAGGGTTCCAGAATTCTTCACAGGCTCACAGGACAGGAAGTAACATAGCATGACAGGAAGTAATACAGCATTTTGGAAAGTCACAGGCTGCAGAAGATACATTAGCATCAAAGGTCAGGACAGCCAAGGCCCCAGCATCCTATTTCTGCTCCAAGCACTAGGCCTTCCTTGCCCGCTCAGGGGCTGCTGGCTTTCCAGATCACCGTCGTTTTTGAAAAAGGCAGCTGACCTATTAAATGAACACAAAACCCTGTACCTCTCTCCCCAACAGCAGCAGAGTTCTGGGGAAGGGGCCAAATCACTCAGGGCCTGGGGGTTCCTGGCTCCTGCTCCTGGAGGAATTAGCACAAGTCATCTATAAATCCCAAGATAACCACCGCCAGTAGACAGAGCTAGACTGCCTTTTAAAGAAGTTCGCTGACCTCTTGTTAACTTAACTCCTTGTTAGGAAATATCTAATCAGCTATGTGCTAACATGTCGTGGGGGGCCAGGGGTCAGCAGAAGCAGGCCTTACCATGGGGTGGGCTTCCAGCTGTGTGCTGTCTGCTGTCTGAGCTGTCTGTTTTGTTTTTTCTCTTTCAGCTATCTTCCAGATCATTCAGAGCATAAGGATGGGCATGTGAGGCGGCCCCCTCCCGCTGGAGGGTGGAGGACCACTTAAGCTTTTAGCCGGGTATCTGTGGGAAGCAAACAAGCCACACAGAATAGAAAAAAGCTCCCTCAGTTGTCCCCTGATCACTTCATCGTGGATGTCAGACCAAATTGCCTTCTCACAGGCCATCTTGGTACATCCGTGTTCTCAAGCGGAAAGGACATTTTGCTTTGCTGTTGGCAGGGTTGGGAGCTCCCGGGGTGTCTGCAGCCTCGTGCTCCGTTTGCTTTTTCCCTTGGTTTCACTCATGTTTGCATGTGACCCTCTGAGCGAGCGCGGCTTTCCGTCCTATGGAGACAGTCTCTCCTCCATGGGGAATTGGTTTTACAAATAAATGTCTTTCTTCAACCTCACTCCATGTGTGGGTTACAATGAGAAAACTGAAGTCAAGAAATGTTAGTGCTTCTCTAGGGGGTGGGGACTTGGTTATGCAATTGGGTAAAGGTCAGAGAAACCATGGGCTAGAACCCAAGAGATTTGCTTAGCAAGTCTGTGTTGACCCTCAAGAACTTGGTCTTGGGCACTGCAACGGCTTTGGGTTTTATACACATTTGATTTTTATTTCTTGAACGTTCTCTTTTTGGAGTTTTTTTAGGTTTTCTGCTATTGCTATTCTTTTTCTTTTTTACCCCAGAAAAGGCGCCCACACTGTGTATTAAGGTTTCGTTAGTTGCCTCCTCTACAGAATCCCTCTGGGCTTGGTGTGGAGCAGGTATCTGAGGCCACTTTGTGAAAACCACTCAGTCTCAGGGCCCAGCTCTGCCTGACATAGAACTTGGAGTAGGCAAGAGCTCTGCATCATCTGGGTGGTCAGCAGAGAGCACAGGAAGGTGAAGCCCAGGCTTCCTGGCCAGCCTTCCCCAGACTCTCCAACTGTGGTCTGCCTGCCTGAGCCTCTCAGTGTGGGGTAGCTGCCTATCAGACGCAGGCTCTGGGGTTCCACCTCAAGCCTGCAAAACCCAAATCACTGCAGATATGACTAAGAATGCCCCCTGGGTGAAGTTTATCCACTCTACATTTGAGAGCCACAATCTCAAGGAAGCCGAGCTAAATAGGGAGGAAGACTTTGTCCCAAGAAGCCATGGTTTCTGGAACATACTCTTAAGCAAAGCCAATCCTGGCAGAGATGGGGTGAGATTTGGCCCTGACTCTTCATTCAGTTCCTGCTATTGCCTAAGGAAGCAGTAGGGTCAGCCACAGACAACCCCCATGGGATTATAGATGTCCGCCATGAAGTTTGAAACAGGCCTTGTTACTTTTGGAAAATTCATCTTTGCCTATTTGGCAGTTTTTTTTCACCCCTTAATATTGGGAGAGCCTTAAAAATGAAAGCAGCAGAGGTGAACAGGCCCTCTCTTTACTACTTCAGAGGTCTGGTTTGAAGCAGCACATTTCCACACTTGGAAATAGGGGGCAGGGCCTCTTCATTCCCTAGAGTCTTTCAACCCAACTCTTAGTGACGTTCTCCAGGTTTTCCTACCTCTCATCCTCCCAGCACCCCTCCCAAACTACTCCTCTCCTCCTTCCTCTTTCTCTCCCACTGAGAAGGTACAGGGCCATTCAGTTCCACAGCACTGGGGACAGAATGGCACCCTTGTGTGCCCCACCGCTCCCTTCCGCCTCTCCCAGGGCAGACATCCCACCACGGAGGGCCACGCACAATAGCTGCCTGCCAGCTGGCCCTCATCCCTCTGGCGCGCTCAGCTGCTCCTCTTCTAGGTCACTGAGCAAGACCAGTGTACTGTGAAGGACCAGGTCCCATGGCTATCTGCCAAGAGGCTGGGAGAAGAAAGGCCCCCTGACAAAGGATTATCTGCTCCGTGCTCCCACACGCCCTCTCTGACTCCAGCGGTGCCCTGACTTGATCTGAGTATGGGTCCCCCACCTCCCTCTCCGAGCACCAGTAAAAGCACACCTACCAAACCATCTTGAAAGGCCATGGCCAGCCTGCACTTTGTGGTTCCTCCTTTATTGGAGGAACCTAATTTGCTCCTTCCCACAGCAGTCCATAGGGTGATCATTCTAGGAAAGGGAAACTCAAACTTGGGCAGAGGCGGCTCTGGATAAACCCAATTGCCCTCCCCGCTGACAGGTGTGGTGGGCTGAGTCAGCTGCCAGCTGAAACACTTCCCGTGATTGATTTACCTGCTCAGCCTAGGCAACATCCACTAGTTAGTTTTCAATTAGTTTCCAGGTAGCTTCTCTGAAGGGCTCCTGTGTGACAACCAGCCCATGTGGTGACTTCTGTCAGTCCTCTGCAAGCAAAGCCTGCAGCTGCCCTAAGTAAATTATGGTCATGGCTGATTGAGCTTACAGCAGAGACTTACCAGCCTGTGCACCAGGATCCCATAAGAAATACTTGGCAGGGCCCTCCCTGGCGGTGCAGTGAGTTAAGGCACAGCACTGAGAGGCTAAAGCCACTGCAGCATGAGTTCGATCCCCACCCCTGAGGTGACCCATATGGTGCGGCAGACCTCTCCTGACCCACCTGTTGCTTCCGTCAGCAGTGTACTTCATCAGTCAGCCTGTTCTGCTCCCCACTCTGTCTCTGGTGAATCCTCTTCACCGCCCCTGCACCTCTGGCCTGTACCTCAGTTCTGTATGCATAAATAAATCTTTTTTTTTTTTTAAAGAAATGTTTAGCAACCCAACGCACAACACACCCACTGAAACAAGTTTTACAAAACAATGCTCTCCTTGCTTGAGATGCCACACACTCTGAATTTTTTCTGCTCTATTTAATTTTTTAGTGCTAGCTGCACCCACCCTCCTTCACTGATTTATAACCCATGAATAGGTCCATCCACAATTGGAAAAACACAGTGGAAAACAAGCCCTGGGGAGTTCTCCTAGGTGAGTACCTTTGAGACCCCTCTGCATCCTGATGAGATCCTAATGTTGCAAAGCACCATCTATACTTCTCTTCGTGGCACTGAAGCAACTTCTTTGGGGATTCAGACATGCCATGTGGTCACCTCCGGGGCAGGCAGGGATCGAACTCATGCGGAAGTGGTTTCAGCTTCTTAGTGCAGTGCTTTAACCCGCTGCACCACCAGGGAGGGCCCCTGTTGGGGTTTTTTAAAGTAGAAATTCACTAAGGGTCTGCTGAGAATCCCACTCCCTGAGGAGGGCATGCATGTGTATTTTTTAAGTGTCCATGTGATTCTGATGGTGCCCATCCCCCAGTTAGCATTTCAGAAGCAATTCACCTGCAGACTCACTTTACAATAAAGCAGAGACACAGAGGTAGAATCCCCAAGCCTAGTACCACATCAGCTCTATCAGGAGCTTTTACCTCAGATATTTTAAACATCTTGGGGTGGGGGGGGTGTTGCTCCATAAAGGTCAGCGATGACAAAACACAGTCTCCTTTTGCTCCAGCTCTTAGGGGTCTTTGTCATTCTGAATAAACCCCAGGTCCTTCATACCTGACTGAAATTCAGCTCGATAGGAGGGAAAAGTAAGCAGCCTCGAGAGGGGCTTTTCTAGGTCCCCACCCTGCAGGGCATCCTCAGGACAACATTGTGACTGGGAAGGCAGCTGAAAGGACTCTTCAGAAGGGAAGAGAACATTCTTGCAGCAGGCAGCTGCAGTTCTCATCCCGTACTGATTGAGAATATTCTAAGGTGATAATCCCTGAAGTTATTCCACGCCTGCCTCCCACAGCTTTGGAGGCAAAATGTCCTTTGTGCGATGCTCTTTATTCTACACTGGGCCTCACTGCAACTGCAAAGCACGCTGATCACTCAGTCACAGGCTCCTTGCTCTGGGAAATCACTAAGACCTTGGACTCCATCTGCCAGTCCTGGTCTGACGTTCCCACTCCGGCTTGGCTCGGCAAACTCACTGGGGGGAAGGTCAGATAGTAAATCCTTTAGGCTTTCCCAGGCTGCTCAGGTATGCCACTGTAGCATGAAAGGGGCCCTAGATGATAGGGAAACATAATAAAACTTTTTAAAAAACAAGTAGGTCTTGCAGAACCATCGTTTGCCAGTCCCTGCCTGAGGGGAGCAGTTCTAAAATCACCATTCCTACTGCCTTCAGCCTCATGGACATCATGGGATTCTTTAGAAATGCAAATTCTCAGGGCCCCCTCCGGACCTACTGAATCTGAACTCTGTGGGTGAGGCCCAGTACTCAGGGCTTTAAAAGGCTCCCAGATCATGCTCCTGCAAGCTCAAGTTTGAGAACCAGTGCCCTTGGTCCCCCGCCAAACCTGTCTGCTAGGGACCTGCCTGCGGCCAGCCCTCCCCCTCCATTCCTCACAAACACCCCTCTGCTTAAGACTTAACGAACTCTGTTGTTTTGCTTCCTGCTTGTTTCATGCCCACATTTTGTCCCCCAGTTAAACTGAACACCCCTGGAAGACTGAGTCTGTGTCTTTGACTTGTTTCTCTAGATAAAACATTTAATAAAGGTGGGAAAGGCCTTACCCTCAGGGAAGATAATTATGCACAACATTTTCAGCCCACGATTCATTTTTCAAAAATACAGAGTGCCTGCTGTTCACTACAGACTGTTTTAAAGCAGCAAGTCCCAAATTTCATGGAACTTTCATTCCATGGAAAATGCAATAGACACATCAACGTCAATACACACAAAGCACAAGCAGAGCAAGGAAACGTGATGTGAGAAATCCTGCAAGAGACCACTGTGTTTTTGTGACCTACAAGTGAGCATAGAGGATGTTTTGTATGCTCCTCGTGGCAGGTAGAGCTGCACAGGTATTCATCTCACTTGAGGAGTTGGGGTAAAATGAGCTATGCGCAGTCACAGCAAACACGCTTAGCACAATAAGCTTGCACTTACCTCCTCTCAGGGCCCCTGTGGGCAGGAGAGAGCTTCCCCTCCAGAGGGTCTCAGGGACACCACAACAGAGGAACAGGAGGCCTGTAGTATGCCACAGTCTTGGCACCAAGAGACACTGGCCTTCCCACATTCCTTTCACCTACTGTATTGGTCAAAACTAATCACATGACTCCAGTTTATCTGCAGCCAAGACAGCAAGGAGATGTCAGGTGTTCATCATTTGGTGAACTCCGTTTCTGCCACAACCTCACTATTTTCAGCTTGTCGCGTGATTGCTAGATTCCATGTTTAATTGAGGTCAGCCTCCTAGCCATCACCTTAGGCCTCAGGAGACACCTGTGCACAGCTCCCGGTCAGTGGCTCAGAGGAGGCTCGCTACGGGGCATGGGAATGTGGCCATGCAGTTGCTCACCCAGGCCAGAATACTGCTAAGCTTGAAGGGGTTCTTGTTAATAACACCAGGACACTATACATGCACTTCAATGGTCCAGGCAAACCAGGACCTGTGGTGTCTCTAGCCACAGGCCTTGATGCTCAA